TCTTGTGTGTGTGTGTGTGTGTGTGTGCGTGCGTGCATCAGGCGGAACTCCGCTGTGCGCGATACAGAGAGCGCGACCATAATGTAGAGACCGAAATGACATGTCGTCGTGTAAATAAGATAAATAACATAAGGCTATTTAGTTTGCTTAATAAAAGAACATTGGAAAATAAATGTCATTTAATATTACAATTAAAACATTAAAGAAATATTGTATGCTTATTCCTTAAAAATAAGTTTTTAATAATTTTAGTAGTAGTAGTAGTAGCAGCCTGTTACGTACATTCTACTCAACAATAGTAATATATTTCTGCCAATGCCCTCAAGTTAAACCGAACTTTTATTTTGACGGGTTGCCGTGAATACCTTTACATTTCTGTATATTCGGGGCGGAACTCTGCTGTGCGTGATACAGAGAGCGCGACCATAATGTAGAGACCGAAATGACATGTCGTCGTGTAAATAAGATAAATAACATAAGGCTATTTAGTTTGCTTAATAAAAGAACAAGGTATATACCTGTTCTATAGGAAAGGTAACTTTAAATGACTTCTGTTGTGATCTGGCGCTATAGAGAAAATATAATTAAATAAAATTAACTTGACCTTCAAGGGGGGCGGATAATGGCAGGGGAAACACTACATACTACTTTGTGAGAAAGGGTTTCTTTCAGATCGAACCATTTTAGTGGGTTGTATCTGCAAAAATTGACGTGACCTCTAGCATTACGCCCCATTCACACGGGGCCTCGGCGTCAACGACTCTCGTTTACTTTGAATGGAGTGACGTCAAGCGTTGCCGAACTGAATTGTGGGTCCGTTGCGTCACGTCAGGTCCGTTGCTCGCAGCAGAAGTTGAAAACTTTTCAACTTTTCATCCGCCAACGCAGGCGTCAGCCAATCAGACCGCCTTATGCAAATACCCTGGTGCAGACGCTAGCCAATCGCGAGTGTATTTATGTCATTAGTAAGACGGCAGACGTTGATATCACCGGAAGCGTCACGAGCGTTTCAGTACGAGTACTACACAAAACCGCGCGTCTGCGCCATTCATTAACACAGAGACACGCAGAATTCATATTTAAATATGAATCGTTTTGACGTCAGGTCCGTTGCTCGCAGCAGAAGTTGAAAACTTTTCAACTTTTCATCCGCCAACGCAGGCGTCAGCCAATCAGACCGCCTTATGCAAATACCCTGGTGCAGACGCTAGCCAATCGCGATCATGCAACACCAGAAAACTAATGTGATTGGTTGTTGTCACTATGACGGTCGCACCAGCGCCAAGCTTCAGAAACGCCCTCCATCAAGCACCGACGCCCCATGTGAATGTACCGTTAAACTTTTGAACAAGCTAAGCTTGACGTCACATAGCGTGAATCCCCAATAATGCTGAAAAATCGCTGTCTGTGGACACCTGTTGATGTGAGTTTGTCGTGATATGCTACTATGCTTAAACTTGAGTTCTGCTTCTTATTTTTCTGCCATAGATGTTTGCACCCCCTGTGGCTAATGGGAAGAACAGACCAACCACACTTGCTAGCAGTCAATTTAGTGGTTCAGGTAAGTCTAAACACATGCCTTTTCCTGTTTAGAGAGGAATGTCACATATTGCTTGAATTTGCCATATTTGTGCATTTCATAAGTTTAAAGCGGTGTTCTTTATAGCAATGGAGATGTTTGGGCCAGTTGCTAAGTGCTCGTTCCTCTCAACAGAAGAAGAGGACATGCTTCTTCTTGTTTTCCTAAACCCCCTCTTTTATGAATTCACCATAGTATAGAGTCAAAGCTTGGGGCAGTTTGGATCCCTTTGAACTGGTTGTTCAGTTGAAGCACCTATTGCACAAACTTGTACGTCGTAAAAACTTTATTAGGTCAAGAGGAGTGACTGATTTGGTTGGATTGCTCTTCATAATCATGTTTGTGTCCAGAACAATTTAACAGCCCAAAACATCTCTTTGTCATTTAAAAAGTATGTTTTTTTGCTTTGTTTGTATGTTTGCCATTATTTACTTTATAACTAGTTGCATATCACACTCACAAAAGTGTTATTTATGCGACCATTGTTGGCTTGTGTTGCTCCAGTCAAGATTGTTTCAGGAGCTGTCAAAGGCATGAACGATCCATGCGTTTCTCTTCAAGTCTTTCCAGTCTGTCTGTCTGTCTCCCAATCGACACTCCAAACATTAGCCTTGAATAAGAACAATATGAGAACAAAGACTTAAATAAAGGCCTTACAGTCTCCAAATGATTCCCCCACCCCACTGCGTAAAACACTCCTCCCCCCACACAAGAAAACACTTTCTCCCCCTGCCAACTGACAGGAAATGGACTCTCTCTGAAACAAAGCTCTCTCATACCTCCCACCACCCCGCAGGAGGCCCGCATGAAAACAGCAAAAGAAACACTGTGAAAGATCACCAGCTTCACTCTCGGTCTGTGGCAGCCTAAAGTGCCAGTTACATAACAGGGCCAAGCTAATGTCTCAGTTTGAGATTTTTATTGCAAGAGCTACCTGTCACCGAGGTGACCCCGACTGTTAAATCTGTCACTTGTGAGATGCTTCTAGAAGGTCTCCACATCAGCCTCACCCTGTGAACTCGGTATCACAGGCTATGACTTGTACTTAGGCTACGTCCACACGAAGACAGAGCTTTCCCTATCCTATCTTTTTTTTCCCCCTCGTCTCAAGAAATATCTGTGTCCACACGAAACCGACACAAAATGATGTAGTATACATGCCAGACCAATATGTGGTGCTGTAATTCTGCCACGGAGATACACTAAAAACGGAGAAGAAGACTTGGACTGTGCATAAACCTTGCACGCGGTAGACAAACGAACATGGAACAATACAGTTATTAATCTGTGTTAATGTTAGTTAATAAAAAGACAATCGTGTTGTGTTTTTTTTAAATGTTTTTGTTGCTGTTACGTGACGTGATGAAGCGGTGTCTGACTAGGGGCGAGGTGTGGGCTGATGACATCATCATCACAGAAAATATACGGATTCGCTGTCCACACAAAAACGCAAGGGCGTCGTTTTCAGATTTATCCACTCTGAGACCCGGTTTCAAAAAATATCGGTTTCACTCTCCCAAAATGCCAGATCCGTCTGGACGAAAAGCCTATACGATACGAAATTTATGCGTATACAGGTAAACGCGTCTCCGTGTGGACGGGGCCGTAGATTCGCTATTGAAAAGCAAAGGTCCAAGGGACAGTTCCTCAGCGTTATTCATTTAAACTCTTAAAGGAATTATGAGTTCAATACATGTTAAGCTATGTCGGCATAGTTTGTGAACATATTCACAATTACCACAAAAAATTATTTTAACTCGACCCTCAATTGTTGTTGTTGTTTTTATTATTTGCAATTTATCCAACTAGTCTGTACATTCAAAACCTTGTATTTTAACATTTATTGTACTGCCTTGTCCAGGGGTGATTCTAGGATTTTCATTTTAGGGGGGCTCAGCCCCCAGTGAGGGTATAATAATAAAAATAGCCTAATAAAAAAAAAAAATAAAAAAATATATATAAAATAAAAAAATGTTTGATTAATAGTCGTATACTAAACTTATTGCAGTATTCCACTGTATTGCATGGATAGGTATAACATTTGAGTACTGAATAAGCCAAATTCAAGTCTTCATTGTCTCACACACACAACCTGTTTACTGTAGGCTACAAACACAAAATGTTATTGTTTGCATTTCTAGTATTCCTTATCTCAAGTAGGCCTATGGTCATTATATAGCCCCACTAAAAATGGCCTAGCGACGCCCATGGCCTTGTCCTTTCCTATTTTATTTTACTTTTAAAAAATTAAAGGACAAATGACATTTTATTTTCTGTGGTAACATGTCACAAATGCTGTTGATAGAGCTTGGCATTTATTGAACCTAGAACATTCCTTGAAGATCATAAAAAGTATTGCACATTAACAAAAGCTGTGATCTTGACTTCTTTGCATGAACTGGATTGCTTTTCAATTTTAAACCGTTGGTCAGGAGTTCAACTTCTGACTGTCCTCTACTATTCAAGCTGACCATCCACAAAGTAAGGACGTGTTTAAAGGAAGCAGTGGCCTTCAGAAGTGCATCTGTTCCTCAAGACAAAAGTGCTTGGGAGGGTGCTAATTGCATTAAGCCATCTCCTCCCCCTCCTTGGGCATAGCCATGGTGTTTGCGGGATTTTTTGCATGGGAGGACTTTACCAGGCGTCCTCTCGCTCACCTCCACAGCTGCCCAACACGTCACCCACTGAGGACAGTGTTAGGACAGGACAGAGCCCATTTCCCCCCTGGTCACACCCTTGAGATGCGAGCACATTTACACACACACCAAGTTATTGCTTCACTTTTGATATCTGCTGCCATCTGAACTTGAATAATGGCATGCTGTGTAGCTGATGTATTTGAAGGAGTCTATAAAGGAAATGATCTTTCCTCAACGCAGGAAATGGAATCAGTTCCTGCATGACTGAATGTCAGATTTGTCTTTGTAGAATTGCATTTTGATGCTTCCAGCAAATAAGTGGCCAATAACTCAAAATATAAATCACATTGTATCCTTAAATAAAGCCATTTTGTATATACAAAAACTAATTTGCCAGAAAAAGCACCAGTTTAGTTTGGAAAAATGGTAATTCATAAAAAAAAACATTCTACAATTGTAACAGTCTTGACAGATCCAATCCAAACCATTCCCCATTTTAAACATCTTATCTGGTCCTTCTGCATTTGAATCTGTATCTCTGCCACTTAATTTTCCCCACATAAGATGATTCTGCCAGGGAGATTCTTTCACTCACTCACTCACTCAGTGCCCACTTCATTTCCCTTGCTGTCTGCGTGGGCTCCATAGATCACGGCTGTCAGCGTGGATGTCGCTATTTGCTCTGCTTTGTTAGCTTCATCACTCATGCTCAGCCTTCAGTGGCCGCTCTGGCTGAGACCCCCTCTTCTCTCACACATTTTTAATTAGACCTAAAAAAATCAAAAAAATCAAAAGGAGAATATGAATATTCATAAACCAACTGCATTAATATGCACAATTATGCAAATCAGCATGCAATTAAGCCATGTGTCTTTGGAGAGCATTGCATTAAGGCATAAGACAGGAGGCAGAGGGGAATGCTTTGAGGAATTTCTGCTCCAGTACACTTTGAATTGTTGCCGCAATGTTTTTGAATATCCATTTTTTTACATATAAAGCATATTGATGGCAATGAGGAGAACCATTTAACACTCCGTATCCTGTATGTCTTGAGCTGAGACCTGTGTTGTCCCTCTGGGTGTCCACTCCCAAATGTACAATGATGCTACTTTCGCAATTCTTTGATCAGCCTGTTTTTGTTCTGCTTGCCGTGATAAGCAGAACAAGTAAGGACCCCCCCCGAATGAATGAATGAATGCTCCCTTTATGGTCAGTGATGTTGAGGCTTGCTGAATGACATGGATATTAGTGTGGTGTGATGGTTTTGGATGAGATCCAGAGGCTGTCTGACAAGCACAGAACCAGCCACCAAACGTCCAAAGGCCTTAATGCATGAAAAGAGAATTAAAATGGGCCTTGATGAAGATTTAGTGCATGCCAAAATTGCAGTATTGGTCTGACAGTATGTGATCACTTGCTTTGTAGGTATGGAAGAACGTAGTAGTCCCTGGGCTGCTGGAGAGCAGAACAGTCCCTCTTTTAACCAGGTAGAGGTAGACCCAGTGCCTTGTTTGTGGTCTAAAGGTGTTGTTGGGACATGTTTTATAGTTTTGACCTGCTTCTGTCTTGGTTTGTCCAGAACTATGGAGAAGGCTCACACTACAATGAACACGATGGACTATCTTCCCCATTCCTTGGCACAGGAATTAGTGGTGAGTTTTACCAATGTTTGGTGGGTTGACCTCAAAGCCGCCGATGTAGAAACTGCCCCATGTGTTGCCCTGGAAGTTGCTCAGGGTAGTCGAGCTCCTCTTTGGCCTCAGCAAGCGGATTCACTCTTAACCTCCATGTTGTGTCATTGACTTCTGATTTCTTCCAATAATTGTAACATTTGGACTTTATTTGAAGTGTTGAGTGAGATTGGTTCACTCAGATTTCAAATGTATTTGCTCATAATGCCAACTATTTTTACTTGCAGGAAAGAATGAAAGGGGTCCTTACTCTTCCTTTGGGGGCCAGGTCAGTTGAATCAAGTCTTGAGTAATCCTGAAAGTGCTTTAGTCACCTGCTTGACATCATGCTCAAACTTTTGACTCAAATCCGCCATCTTGTTGTTCCTTATAGCCAGGGTTCCTGCCCTCAGACATCACCATGCCTTCTGCAGATGCCATGTCTCCATCCGGACTGAAGTCTGGCTCACAGTTTTACCAGTCATACCCCAACAACCCCCGGAGACGCCCCTCAGATGGAAGCATGGGTAAATAACTTACAACATTTACTAGACTTGCATCAGATCAGTCGGTATGGAAAGAAAGAGTACCTTTGTGTATGCTTTGATCTCTTTCACAGATCCCCAACCAAAAAAAATCAGGAAGCCGCCAGGACTACCATCTTCAGTGAGTGAACTTTCTGAAATATTCTTACTTGTTTCCCAATAAAAGTATTTCATTACAACCTCAATTTAATGATCAGAATTGTGAGGAATTACACAGATGTTAAAGGGTTAGTGCACCCAAAAATGTGTTTTACTCACCCTCAAAGCATCCTAGGTGTATGTGACTTTCTTCTTTCAGATGAATCCAATCAGAGTTATATAAAAATCGTGCAGGCGGATGATGTAAGACATAGGCGTCGTGCACGTGCCTCTGAGAAATGCAGGAGCAAAGGAAACAAAGTTTCCTTACTTTAGTAAAGGAAAACCAGTCTCCTCTTGACTTATATTGAAATCCTCTGACATTTTTATTTACAAATCCTCGTTTTGTGCTTCTAATTCGTGACCAGCGTTTTGTTTTGATCTGTCTCCGCGTTCGTCACTAATCACGCAACGTCGACGTCTTACGTCATCCGCCTGGATGTTTTCCACGTACGACAGTTCATGCCCCGGAGCCGTGTGAGGGACGTTTTATTACGGATGCGCACACTTTATGTCACGTCTTCTGAACTGTTGACAACCAACACCCGCTTACCCCCACTGAAAGGCTTGGAGGGGCCAGGACAATTTTTAATATAACTCCGATTGGAATCGTCTGAAAGAAGAAACACCTAGGATGCTTTGAGGGTGAGTAAAACACAGGCTAATTTTCATTTTTGGGTGAACTAACCCTTTAAGTAAGCAAAGTCCTGCTTACATGATTTTGCAGCCATTTGTGGCATCTGAAATGGTTTGACATTAGTCCAAAAGTTTAGCTCCAACACCTTTCAACACATCTGCCTGGAAATTTTTTAGTAATAAATTATGCAGGAAGGTTCCAGACCTCATTCAGAGTAGAAACATTTTATGACGTGAACAAACAAGAACATGGTTGTGAGGGGTAGATGTCCTCAGAGATTTTGCTGTTGTGTCAAATGGTTAGCGAACAAAACATTTAAGGCTCAGATTCCATCAAAAATATCTTAATTTGTGTTCCGAAGATGAACGAAGGTCTTACGGGTTTAGAACGACATGAGGGTGAGTAATTAATGACAGAATTTTCATTTTTGGGTGAACTAACCCTTTAACTTGAACAAACATACAAGGAGCCATACCCCTTTTATTGAGTCATGGGAAGAGGAACTGTTGTTTCTTAGTCTAAATCCACATAAGCTCAACACTTTGCCCTCTAAACCCCCTCCTCAAACACGATCCTTCAGATTTGCCCATGCTAGACCTTATCCTCCCCCTCTTCCAAAGTGACCCAGTTGTGAGTCCCCTTGCACCTCTCTCTCTCTCTCTCTCTCTCTCTCTCTCTCTCGTGCTTGTCTTAGCTCAGATTAATGGCTTCTGATGAGCTAGGGTTCTAGCTCCTGCTGAATCCCACTCTACGGCTCAGTATAACTTCCTCTTGTGCACGCCACAGCATTATATTACCCTAATGATTGCACCAATGCTCACCTGCTACCTTTAGCATGCTTTTCGGATATTTAAAAAAAATCAAAGTTTAAATCCACCTTTGGCTAAGCACTAAAGGATATTGATCCTTAACTTGTCTGGGCTTGCCTTGATCTTCTGAAGTGCATCAACAAATCATTGTGAGGATGTGTTTCCTGGTGAACTTGAGAGAAGAGGGCCATTCGCATGTTTTTTTTTCCCTTCCTCATTTGTTCTTTTATGTGGTTTCTACATAATCGACCAGTCTATTTTGCTCCACTCCTACCACTTCTTCAAGACCTCTCCCCCCACTGTTCTCACCCCTCCCCTCTTCAGCCCAGCTGCCTGTGGAGTTGGACAGGCTCCAGGAGTAGGCAGATGGCTCTGTAATTAGAAGTGCATCTCTCCATTCCCCTCCCACTTCTCCCTGTTAAATCAAATTACAGGCAAAAGAGAAATATCGCTTTGCTGGATTTGTATTCTCCGCTGGCCCAACTCCCAAACACTCGCTCATGTATGCACACATACAGACAAACATACAAATCATACGTGTTAAGACGTGCATGTTGGGGAATACGCTGTATGGAGGTATGCCTCGGGTCTCCTGAATTCATATGAATTTCTGATCATCATTCAGTTTCATTTATCGGTTCCAGATAATTTTAGTATTACTATTATAAACAGTACAAATATCTATTTTTTCCATTTCACTGTTATGGAATATGTCATTACCCAGTGTGCTTAGCTTGATTTGGACTCTTTTAGTGTTGTGCTCCCTGTAGCTGTCCTCCCTCTCCTTTTTTGGCTCATGGGAGTGTGAGAGGAAGCGCCGACTGTGCCATGAGATGGCCATGGCGCATTTCCCAGCATGCTCTGTTCTCTGTCCCTGCCACTTTATCTAAGGGATAATATGCACTATGGAAACACGCATCCACGTCATTTGTACCGAAAATCATGATGCGCTTGCCAGTTTCATGGGCTCCATATCAGTTGTGCATTCATGTGCAAGCGATTTGCTAGGGTTATTTGTCCATATGAAGACTGTTACTATGAATGTTGTGTTTCTTTATGTCCTTCATGTACCTTGTTTCTAAACGCAGGTTTATGCCGCCACCTCTGGTGATGACTATATCCGTGATGGTGCTGCCTACCCAGGCTCCAAACCTGGCTCTGTGTACCCAGGATCTTTTTACATGCAAGGTATGTACATGGGGCAATAAAATCGTCTTTTCCATATCTAAAAACCCAATCTCCCCAAGCCATAAATGCTAATATTAATGTGTATATATAACTTGTTCACGGAGACAGATTAGGAATAGCTAAGCAGTTATCTTGTAGTTTCTTTTGTTTGATTTGAAATTAGTAGCATGCACAAAGACAGATGTTTCTTTGGATTATAATAGACGTCCACATAAGATCTTGTGCTGACTGTTATTGATCATTCCCATCTGCCTTTGTGTTTGCAGAGGGCCTACACTCCTCTTCGGACCCCTGGGCCCCCTCTGGATCCATAGGCCAGTCGGGATACACGGCTATGCTGGGGAATTCGCCACACATCAGTCAGCCAGGCTCCTTCTCTGCGATAAACCCACAAGACAGAATGGTATGTCTTCTGAAAATTTCGAAGGTTTTAGAGAAGGGCTTAAATTGTGACTCAATTCAGAAGTTCCAATAACTGTGTTTATCTCCACAGAACTATCCCTTGCATGGAGCGGACGTGAATGGTTTCCATTCGGGCTCCGCGGCTTATAGCCACACATCCTCCATGAATGGATCCAACAGCATTTTGGGTAAATCACCTTCGTCTTTTTAATTTAATGTCCTCTAGGTTGTGAAATGAGCTTGTAATTGGGTTGAGATTGGTACTTGAAGTTGATTCTTCTTGTGAAATCATTTTTGGCCTTGGACTAGTCTGAACTTGAACTGTAATCTTTCATTCAGACTTAGCTGATAGCAAATTATGGATCACTTGAATAGTTGTGACATTGATGTAATGAATTAAGTTAATAAGTACTCCCGTTCTCTACCACAGCAAGCAGAGGTTCAGTCACAAGCAGCTCAGGTGATGAGATCGGAAAAGCTCTTGCTTCGGTGAGTGAGCTTTCATTAATCACCATGAAAGAGCATTTGGCCATATGAAGTCAAAGATGGATAGCATTATTCAGACTTTCAGTGATCCCTTGGTTATGGATTATTATTAGCCATAGGAGAGCTTCACATTTAGTCATGTTCCATGTGTTTTTTTTTATTGACAGATCTATCCTTCGGACCACAACAGCAACAACTTCTCCACTCCTTCCACTCCTGTGGGCTCCCCTCAGGGCATTGCAAGTAAGTCAGATAAGCTATAAGTCTTATTCTGTCAAAGCTTGATATGGTTCATTAGATCAGTTTGTGTTGAAAGGTACCAAGACAAAAACGGGTACGCAGAGGAAGAAGCCTGAAGAATCATAAATCATTCTTTTTAGATTGATGGGCTTTGTGTAGGTTAAGGTGTGAATGTGAAGCTCTAGAGCGCCATCTGCTGTCATAGTGACATACCAGCATTCAGATGTTTCACATTTAGTCTATATATCATGTTCTCCTCAGCAGGTGCAGCACAGTGGTCGAGAGCTTCTGGCCAGGCTGCTCTGTCTCCTAACTATGAGGGTGGACTACATGCACTGGTAGGTTTATAAAGATCCTTTTTGAATATTCGCACAATGTAAACACCTCAAGCTTCACTCTTCAATTAGACAAATATACAAGTGTTATTTTAGTATTATTTGTAGTATATATATATATTGTGATTTCGCTTTTAATATTTTAGTTTTTTTTTTTTTTCTATTTAGCTTAAATTGATTTTATTTCAGTTTTAGTAATTTTAGTACTTTTATTTCTGTTAGTTGCCAAGGCAACATTTCTAATTTTCGTTTAAGCTCAAGTTTTCCATCTAATATTCATATTTTATCTCAGCTAACAACAATGACTTTAATAGTTTGTTTTACTTAACAATAACACTGATGTACAACCACATTTAGCAATGTTAGCATTTAGCGTTTTTAGATTATATTTTTAAAAATGCTATTTAAACACATTAAATAAAATGTATTGTGTTCTAATATTATTATATTATTTATATGTTTGACTTTCTTAATGAATGTTTTTGGCCTCATTGTGTACAAATCATCTGTGCTTTTTATTCTATTAAAGGCACAATATGTAAGATTTTTTTATTAAAGGGGTCATATGATGCGATTTCAAGTTTTCCTTTCTCTTTGGAGTGTTACAAGCTCTTGGTGCATAAAGAAGATCTGTAAAGTTGCAAAGACTAAAGTCTCAAATCCAAAGAGATATTCTTTATAAAAGTTTATTAAGAGTCAGCCACACCTACCTAAAACGGCTCGTTCTAACACGCCCCCACACCTACGTCACTATGTGGAAATATTAGCATAATGCCGCCCAAATGTGCACGCAAAGAAAGAAGGTTTGTTTTCAGGAGCAGCAGTCGTGTTGATGCAGCCATGTCAGGGAGACACTGTGATTCAGTGCTAAAGCAAAAGCACTTTATTTGGCCTTCCGGAAGTAGATGCAATTAGGAATCATTGGTTAAGATTTATTTACAACAGAACAGCACAACCCAGATGTTCGAATTTGTGCAACGCATTTTATGGACGACAGTTTTTTGAACCTAGAAGAGTACAAGGCTGGTTGTGCACGAAGGCTATTTCTAAAAAAAAACCAAAAGGGTCAATTCCGACTTTGCTATGACAATCTGGCGCTTCTGAATCAGCGACTGCAAGTATGTTTTGTTATTAGTTTAAGTATTTGCTATTGACTGTTCAAATGCGGAGTTTTGCGCAGCGCAGAGTAACGCGTCGTGTGTGTG